TGAGAGCCCATGTTGACAACGGCCCCTGTAAGTGTCATGTCAGTCATGAGAGTCATGCCACGTCGTTGACAACGGCCCTGTAAGTGTCATGTCATGTCATGAGAGCCACGTCGTTGACAATGGCCCCTGTAAGTGTCATGTCAGTCATGAGAGCCACGAGCCACGTGTTGACAACGGCCCCTGTAAGTGTCATGTCAGTGTGATGTCAGTCATGTCATGTCAGATGAGAGCCACGTCGTTGACAACGGCCCCTGTAAGTGTCATGTCAGTCATGAGAGCCACGTCGCTGACAATGGCCCCTGTAAGTGTCATGTCAGTCATGAGAGCCACGTCGTTGACAATGGCCCCTGTAAGTGTGTCATGTCAGTCATGAGAGCCACGTCGTTGACAATGGCCCTGTAAGTGTCATGTCAGTCATGAGAGCCACGTCGTTGACAATGGCCCCTGTAAGTGTCATGTCAGTCATGAGAGCCACGTCGTTGACAATGGCCCCTGTAAGTGTCATGTCAGTCATGAGAGCCACGTCGTTGACAACGGCCCCTGTAAGTGTGATGTCAGTCATGAGAGCCACGTCATTGACAACGGCCCCTGTAAGAGTCATGTCAGTCATGAGAGCCACGTCGTTGACAACGGCCCTGTAAGTGTGATGTCAGTCATGAGAGCCACGTCGTTGACAATGGCCCTGTAAGTGTGATGTCAGTCATGAGAGCCACGTCGTTGACAATGGCCCCTGTAAGTGTGATGTCAGTCATGAGAGCCACGTCGTTGACAATGACCCCTGTAAGTGTCATGTCAGTCATGAGAGCCACGTCGTTGACAATGGCCCCTGTAAGTGTGATGTCAGTCATGAGAGCCACGTCGTTGACAACGGCCCCTGTAAGTGTGATGTCAGTCATGAGAGCCACGTCGTTGACAATGGCCCCTGTAAGTGTCATGTCAGTCATGAGAGCCACGTCGTTGACAACGGCCCCTGTAAGTGTCATGTCAGTCATGAGAGCCACGTCGTTGACAATGGCCCCTGTAAGTGTCATGTCAGTCATGAGAGCCACGTCGTTGACAATGGCCCTGTAAGTGTGTGATGTCAGTCATGAGAGCCACGTCGAGACAACGGCCCCTGTAAGTGTGATGTCAGTCATGAGAGTCCACGTCGTTGACAACGGCCCCTGTAAGTGTCATGTCAGTCATGAGACGCCGTTGACAATGGCCCCTGTCATGTCAGTCATGACAATGGCCCCTGTAAGTGTCATGTCAGTCATGAGAGCCACGTCGTTGACAATGGCCCTGTAAGTGTCATGTCAGTCATGAGAGCCACGTCGTTGACAATGGCCCCTGTAAGTGTGATGTCAGTCATGAGAGCCACGTCATTGACAACGGCCCCCTGTAAGTGTGATGTCAGTCATGAGATCCACGTCGTTGACAATGGCCCTGTAAGTGTCATGTCAGTCATGAGAGCCAATCCTTGACAACGGCCCCTGTAAGTGTCATGTCAGTCATGAGAGCCACGTCGTTGACAACGGCCCTGTAAGTGTCATGTCAGTCATGAGAGCCATGAGAGCCACGTCGTTGACAATGGCCCTGTAAGTGTCATGTCAGTCATGAGAGCCACGTCGTTGACAATGGCCCCTGTAAGTGTCATGTCAGTCATGAGAGCCACGTCGTTGACAATGGCCCCTGTAAGTGTGATGTCAGTCATGAGAGCCACGTCGTTGACAACGGCCCCTGTAAGTGTCATGTCAGTCATGAGAGCCACGTCGTTGACAATGGCCCCTGTAAGTGTCATGTCAGTCATGAGAGCCACGTCGTTGACAATGGCCCCTGTAAGTGTCATGTCAGTCATGAGAGCCACGTCGTTGACAATGGCCCCTGTAAGTGTCATGTCAGTCATGAGAGAGCCACGTCGTTGACAATGGCCCTGTAAGTGTGATGTCAGTCATGAGAGCCACGTCGTTGACAATGGCCCTGTAAGTGTCATGTCAGTCATGAGAGCCACGTCGTTGACAATGGCCCTGTAAGTGTCATGTCAGTCATGAGAGCCACGTCGTTGACAATGGCCCCTGTAAGTGTCATGTCAGTCATGAGAGCCACGTCGTTGACAATGGCCCCTGTAAGTGTCATGAGAGCAGTCATGAGACAATGCCACTGTCGTTGACAACGGCCCCTGTAAGTGTGATGTCAGTCATGAGAGCCACGTCGTTGACAATGGCCCCTGTAAGTGTCATGTCAGTCATGAGAGCCACGTCGTTGACAATGGCCCCTGTAAGTGTGATGTCAGTCATGAGAGCCACGTCGTTGACAATGGCCCTGTGTGTCATGTCAGTCATGAGAGCCACATCCTTGACAACGGCCCTGTAAGTGTCATGTCAGTCATGAGAGCCACGTCGTTGACAACGGCCCCTGTAAGTGTCATGTCAGTCATGAGAGCCACGTCGTTGACAATGGCCCTGTAAGTGTCATGTCAGTAAGTGTCATGTCATGTCAGTCATGAGAGCCACGTCGTTGACAATGGCCCCTGTAAGTGTGATGTCAGTCATGAGAGCCACGTCGTTGACAACGGCCCTGTAAGTGTCATGTCAGTCATGAGAGCCACGTCGCTGACAATGGCCCTGTAAGTGTCATGTCAGTCATGAGAGCCACGTCGATTGACAACGGCCCCTGTAAGTGTCATGTCAGTCATGAGAGCCACGTCGTTGACAACGGCCCCTGTAAGTGTCATGTCAGTCATGAGAGCCACGTCATGAGAGCCACGCCGTTGACAATGGCCCCTGTAAGTGTCATGTCAGTCATGAGAGCCACGTCGTTGACAATGGCCCCTGTAAGTGTCATGTCATGACAGTCATGAGAGCCACATCGTTGACAACGGCCCCTGTAAGTGTGATGTCAGTCATGAGAGCCACGTCGTTGACAATGGCCCCTGTAAGTGTCATGTCAGTCATGAGAGCCACGTCGTTGACAACGGCCCCTGTAAGTGTGATGTCAGTCATGAGAGCCACGTCGTTGACAATGGCCCCTGTAAGTGTGATGTCAGTCATGAGAGCCACGTCGTTGACAATGGCCCCTGTAAGTGTGATGTCAGTCATGAGAGCCACGTCGTTGACAATGGCCCCTGTAAGTGTGATGTCAGTCATGAGAGCCACGTCGTTGACAACGGCCCCTGTAAGTGTGATGTCAGTCATGAGAGCCACGTCGTTGACAATGGCCCCTGTAAGTGTCATGTCAGTCATGAGAGCCACGTCGTTGACAATGGCCCCTGTAAGTGTGATGTCAGTCATGAGAGCCACGTCGTTGACAACGGCCCCTGTAAGTGTCATGTCAGTCATGAGATCTACGTCGTTGACAATGGCCCCTGTAAGTGTCATGTCAGTCATGAGACCCACGTCGTTGACAACGGCCCCTGTAAGTGTGATGTCAGTCATGAGAGCCACGTCGTTGACAATGGCCCCTGTAAGTGTCATGTCAGTCATGAGAGCCACGTCGTTGACAATGGCCCCTGTAAGTGTCATGTCAGTCATGAGAGCCACGTCGTTGACAATGGCCCCTGTAAGTGTCATGTCAGTCATGAGAGCAACGTCGTTGACAACGGCCCCTGTAAGTGTGATGACAGTCATGAGAGCCACGCCGTTGACAATGACCCCTGTAAGTGTGATGTCGTTGACAATGTGGTGCTGTTGAAGTCGAAATAGATAGTTATACTCTTGCGACACTCCATTCTTCACGTTTTAATTCAGTCAATTGAACATTTTACCATGATTTCAATAAATACTAATTGTGATTGGATAATTAAAGTCATTTAGAGGTATATAATTACGTTATATACCTCTGATTTTCCAACACATGTTTATCTCCTAATGACACTCATGACGATATTATTCGATTATTCGCCGTGTGCTTCAATGCAATTCACTTCCATTAAACTGATAGTACAATGATGAGTAATCAGTGAAATGACAAGCATTGGTCACGTGGTACCAGAATGGAACTTGAGTCTGACTTCGAACAGTGTCCCAGTAATATGTCAGTTGGAAGTTGGAGGAAAGCCCCAAGTGATGGAGGTCTTCGTGTTTACTTTTTTGTCAAACCCAGAGAAAGGGAATGTTTGTGATATACTTTTCTATGTAATAGATGTTCGAAACATTTCGAGTTTAAGCTGTTTCACTATTTTACATTGCTATTTAATACAGATCAACGGTCTTTTCACGTTAAAGCGGTTTCACTATTTGATTCAATATGTTCGTGATGTGTTGTACATGTACTCATACATGTCGAATCTGTGGTTCCTCACATTGAAATGTTTATTGAGTAGGCCTATATAGAATATTTCGAGTTAAAGAAGAATGACTGAGCATCTGATTACACATTACAGTGTTGTTGATGTGAGAAGGGAGGCTTAATTAGACTATGCAAGGAACTCATGTGGTAAGTTTTGTTTTTACAACCTTGATTCCATAACATGCTCCCCGCTTATTGTGAAGGAACAGACATTTTGGGGTTGAAAGATTAATCTTGAACCCAATACGAAAATGGTGATTTTAGTGTAATGTGTAACTCACATACAAGGTATTCCTCCTTTTTGCAAACTAATGTAGACGATATTATATATATTTAATCTATAACAGCACTCGTATGTGTGCAGATGGAAAACAGACCGAAACGGCTTATTACATATTTCGCAAACCTCATTCAATGTTCATTTGGCGCGGGATAGAGATCAAGGAGAGCGGGTCCACCTGTCGCTAGGGGTGGCAGGTCGTAAAATGAACGCATATCGAAAACCCAATCTCGCGGGCATTTCTCGTGTGATCATCATTATCATATAAAATACATTCAAAAGAAAAAAAATTAATTTAAATTGCTTTTTAGGATGTTTTCCTTATGCCTGTCAGGGAACATAGTCATGATTACTACCCATCCAACCCCGCGGGTGAATCTAAATTAAGCAGCGACAACAGACGTTTTAACTTTCCAATGCCGCTTGTTGAAAAGCCGATCGAGGGGAGATAGGAGTGTTTGTCCCGAGACAGTGGGTGTACAGATAGGGGTCTTGTTCCGATATATAACATGTCTCCCACAGACAGTCTGTGAACCGGAGACACAAGAGCCCGTGTTTTGTCTGTCAGTGAAAGGTATTGGATCCTGTCGTGGCGGCGCGCGGCCATGTGAGATACCTTGATAGCGCGAGGCGGCCGGGAGTAATATTCGACATCTTTAATATTTCTCTAAGGACATCAATGTGAAGGAGAGCTTACGTCACGAGTGTAAGTATAAGATACGAATCACCATTAATACTTTGTATTTTGTCTGATAGTATTGGACTACTGATATTTCTAAGGGATTCCAAAATTGTGAATTTGAATGACTTGTTCGGCGAGAAATACATTTATTTGAAGTAAATACAAACTGTTTTTAGGAAGTGATATTTCACCTTATAACTATTTTTACATACATTTCGGTTATTCATATCCGTTGGCATACGAATGTTGGTTTTCTCGTATATTTTGAAATGCGATATTTGTCTAAAAGCCTTGACGGACTAAATGTGGCAATTTGTTATGATACATTTGATTTGTAGATATTTACATTTATGAACTTAAGCATGACCAAAATGTAAAAGTACATGTTTAGAATGTCATCGATTTAAAACTCAACTCAAAACAGTTAGAGTCGTAATGTTTTTTACATGACATTTCAAAATGAAATGTTATTGATATCAACTTCGATGAGATCAAACAATAAACCTATCAATCGACATCGATATCAGAAGTTTAAATCAAATACTGCCACTCCGTGAGAAGGAATGAGAGAACCGAACTATTGACTCTAGCGATTTGTCACTTGGGCATGTACGTGAATAGGGTGGGGGGTGGGGGTGGGAGCCGGGGGTCAGGCAGCCGACTGGCTGTCAAGTAGGTTGTTTAGATGTGGACTCACGTATGGCAAAACGCATTCTGTTGTCGAGAGGAAAGTCCAACTATAAGAATGTGCAGGGGAGCGTTTAATCAGCATTAGGTCGGAGGTGTGAATAAGGGCCAAGGGTGAAGTATATATAGGGTGAAATCATTCTACTATTATTGGTCGTATGAAAGAGTCTTGGCTGTGCTATTTAACACTCGTACAATATAACATAGTGCCGGTTTGTCCATTTCGCTTCAAGCCCTGACTGACGAGTTAATAATGTATTTATCTTTTGTCGGCCTTGTAATGGTTCTTGATGGACCAATCTCTTAGTACTAAGCGACATTAATATTTGGGATCTGTGTTCAGTGAACACATTAAACTTTAGACAAGTCTTAAAGTCTTTCTGATTGTTTACGTGTAAAGGGAATGAAAGGCTTCTATTGTCAATGGATTGTTGAGTTTATATATGGCTGTGTTGTGTTGTGATGTATCTATGACATGTTAAGGAGAAGCCATGCATGTCCAAAAGGTTTGGTTGTTGGTTGTTGTTTAACGCCGGCCCAGGAATATTTTAGTTGTGTAACGGCGACCTGTACATTCTGGACCAGATAGACCAGTGATTGATATTTTACATTATGTACAACGATGTCAGCCAAATCAGCTATCTTGACGACCCGATCTATGCCTTCGTCCAGTACGTCATCTTTTTCAAAAGCAAAAATGTGGGTATCTGGGAACGCATGTTAACGTGAATCCGAACGGTGCCAGTGTTTAGCCTGCTCTTGTCTCGGTGTGAGCAGTGTATGAGACTCCCTGATATCCAACCTGGTTCAATTAGATCTCGACTGGAAACACCGTGGACAGTAATGTCTGCTCCTATAGAACATCACGGGTGGCCCAGTGGTCTGGGTGCTGCAGTTTGCTGGTATATAGGAGGTTCAAATCAAAGATTTCTCCAGGATATCGTCGTCATTCTATCTGTACCGTAGACGACGTGCTGGTAATAAGGCTTATTTCCTCTGACGGCAAACGAAAGAGTTTGGATTTAGGTAGATAGTGATTTGGTATTTTTTATTTTGATATGGTGTATCACGTGTTATACCCATAGAGTCATGAGATTGTCACGGTTCATCACATAGACGTGAAGTAATGATCCAAACTACCCGATGCTTCGCTGTGCAGCATACTTCATCTGTGTTCTTGCCAATATAACGTTCAGTCGTGTCCGCCTGTCAGAAAAACCGAAAAAATATATTGTTTCACCCCAGAGGTATGATGAACTCATTAGTTCCAGCGAACGCAAATCAAGCTGTTTCGTCTTATTTTAGTTTGAATCCCTAGGGTATATTCATAAAATACCTGCTTTCATTTGCAACCCTTGCTTTCTTCAAATATAATGTGAAAGTATTGTATGTTTCCTAGCAACAATGCGTCATCAGAACCAAAATCATTTTTGTAATTGGTAAATATTGAAAAGCAAGATTTATGGATGTCAACTTCTGTATTGTGAATTTGTGTTATTCACGATAAAGAAGTTGACATCAGTAAATCTTCCTTTTCTTATGCATTCCACTTGTAAATGCCCTTCCAAGAGTTGGTAAATATTGATTCAACCATACACGTGTATGTCTGTATGGCATTATCTGTAACTGATCTAAATATTCCAATTGCGTACAGCACATTAGATCTCAACACGCCACATTCTTTACGCTTGTTCATAACAAGCCTGCAGTAATATTATGTGTTGACGTAAGACAAGTAGATGAGATAGACTGCAGTATAAGGCGCTTATTGTTTCCTGGGTATGTCCTCCCTGTGTGTGGGAAATACTTTCAGATCGGTTTCATGGATGAATTCCTATCTATACTCTGAACAACACAAAACCTTTTCCCATTCTCTGAATAATGACTGTATGCTAATCGCTTCTCCAACATGCCAATGTAGAGAAATATCCCCCTTAGCGATATAGGAAATGTATGACCCTGGGTTTGAATCCTTGATTGCACTGGTGAAGTCTTGCCAGCACCAAATCCGTCGGTCCCACGAGTGTGGTCCACATCTAAAGTCGGCATCACTTTTGGATTTAGAAATACCGAAAACCTTTAGTGTGTAAAACAATCCAACTCGCTCACTCATGTGTACACACACTCCAACATGTACACACACACGTGTACACACATCTTTGGGGATATATGATGAATTGATGTCAGACATCAAGTGGAGTAGGCTAGTTGAAGATCGTCCGTTAGAACGCGTGATTTAATTGTGTCACCGTGCTCCGATAGTCTAGATCGATGTTCATGCTATCAAACACAATCTTTGCGGTTGTGGCACATTCCTATCGCCCTCAAGGCCCAACAATCATAAACAGTGTTGGGCCTCACAGCGACCGGAGATTTGTACACCCGCTGCTTCTGTTTTCACTTTTGTGGAATGGGGGTTAGTCTTTAAATGGCTTTGTGGACACGGGCCACTACTCGGTATTGTTGCTCCGCGTGTTGTAGGGAAGGGATTTAGATTTACATATAGCAGTCACAGCTGTGGTTAATCTGGGGACGTAAATGTTCAGACAGATTCTCGTCAACTGTCTTCCAAAATTGTTCAAATCGATGACAAACCACAACAATGATGTAATCATTATTCTGATCGATCACAAAGGGTCACAGCCAGTCGAATTGGTTTAGGTAAACACCCCTTTGAACTGAATCACAGCATGTTCGATCCATGTGAGATAACACCTTAAATGGTGTTTACCAAAATCGGGGAAGCAACTATTCGACGGGCAAGTTATGGCAAGTCAACCCATGAGTTGCACCGTGGAGAAGCTCTATTCTTCACATCGAAGTGCAACCCCTTGGAAGACATCAACATTTGCCCACCCTCATTCTAGACATTTTCTAGGTCTTTCTAGATTCACACCCTCTTTCTCGGTGTGTATCCGAATAAATAATCGTAAATTGAGAAATTAAACAGGACGTGACTACGACGGGGTTCCAGATATTTTCTTATGATCAGGAGTACGTACTCCTTCTTTTCTCAATATAGGAGTACTGGAAAACACATAAGAGTACATTTAGAGTACTGAATGGAATTTTAGGGAGTATCAGTAATCTTGTGTTTCGTTTCACATATGCACCACAACATTTCTACTCTTGTGTAAACAGGTCAATAACAATAAACCACTAGTGTTTCAGATAAATACGTCTGTAAATGATTCACCATTGCTGTGGTGCGTAACTGCTACGTTTTCTAAATTATTTCCTACCGTATCGTGCTTATTTACGCCGATACGGCCCTTAGCTGGAGCCCTGTTACTAGATATTGCATCGAAAATACCGCGCCTTGATTGAGGTACTTTCGTAGGGCAGGAAGCGGTATAAAACATAACTTCGAGCACACCACCCAATAGTAATAAATGTCACGAGTCACCGATGCATCGCCGGCAAGCTTTACACGATACGATACATGATTCACTTGATTCAGTATCGGTTCATATTTTGACATATATCGATTATTATTTGGATGTTGCAACGATATTTCTATCACATAAAACATGTTTTTGTGAAGATTTGTATGGGGAAGGATGGACAATGTGAATGACCCGCCTAATATTTATGTACAAAGTGACCCCGCTGTATGTCATGTACAAAATCAATGCCCCCATCCATAACTTATTAATAATTGCCTGTACAAAATTGCTGTCCCCGCCAGTACATGTGGACGACATTTTTACCCCTACCTCCCCAGTAAAAAATGGGTAAAATCACCATCATCCCTTCTTTTTCTCCCCTCTCCCCTTATTCTTCGTGACTGTGGTTGGTGGAAACTTGGCGGATGCTTCCCTTCTCTAGTATTCTCTACCCTACTGTTTGGTCACTTTTGAGATATGCTATGAGTTTGCCATCGAGGCAATGGCTGTATTACGCCCAAAATGTCGGAAATGTAGTATCGCGATTCGTATCGTGTCGTGACCTCACTATCGAGAAACGTATCGTATCGTGAGGCACCTGTATCGTGACATCCCTTCCGCCCCATGCTTGGAAAACCTTTACAGGTCAGAGCATTGTGGCAAACATGCATTCGAGAGTACCACCCCACGAGCAACATGTAAATTACTTTGTCAACAGGTGTGACAGTGTGTAGTGGCTCGCCCCTCAACTACCTGACAACGGACAGCTGTGACAGTGTGTAGTGGCTCGCCCCTCAACTACCTGACAACGGACATATGTCTTAATTAACACACTACAGTGGTCAAGGTACAACAAATATACGTCATTATACCTTTGGAATCCGGAGTCCATATCTTTCAACACATAGAGATGCATTGTAGAATTATCTAACACACAAGTGCAGAGGTCACGAAGAACTCCTCTTGGGTCAATACAATACACACTAGTGCCGTGGTCACGGAGAACTCCTCTTGGGTCAGTTGGCAGTCCCTGCAAACTTGGTTCAGGTCATTCGAAACCCACTTTGCGTGAGTACCAACTCAACTGATATGATGTATAACAATCTGGTAGTTACCTATTAGCACAGAGACAGTGGCATTCACCCCAGGAGCAGATTACGTCTAGATTTAGGCTTGTCATGAGTGGTGAGTCCTCAAACAACCTTTCGTAGTGCGACTGTTACACTATTATTACACTCTATTGTAGATACAGTGGTCAATGTGAGTGAGTGAGCACTATTCCAGCTATATGGCGGTGGTCTGTAAATAATCGAGTCTGGACAAGACAATCAAGTGATCAACAGCATGAGCATCGATCTACGCAATTGGGATACGATGACATGTGTCAACCCAGTCAACTAGCCTGACCACCCGATCTTCAAGGGTTTGCAGTGGTCAAAGGTGCGACTGGTATCTAGGTGAACACGGTACAGGAACGACGTAACAATGTCAGAAGTGCTGAACGATATAATACCACGAAACAAGTGATAAGCCCAGTCTATACATGAACTTGAAGTAGCACTGATCATATCTCACAGTCTAAATGCAAAATTTGTCGGTATCAATGGCCAGTTGAAAAACGTTATCTCGAAGTCCTAAGGAACCCTGAGTCCTTTTCGAGGGAGTACAGTTCTACACAAGCGTGTCGATTCTGCCAGGACTAAACATGGTCTTCATCGATATATCGAGGTAATGAAGTTTTGGTTCATCGGGGTTCATAAGGAATGCAATCGGAGACTTCCTATCCACAGCTTCGTGGAAGAGACTACTGCGACAATACAACAATCTTTCATGTACAATTCATACAACCCGTGGCATTAGCGTAATTGTATTTACACCTGGACGTCGCTTATCGTAAGTCAGCATGAGGTCAGCAGTGTAAGATGTACCACTTCAATTTGTGGGTTGCGTCCCTTTGGCCTTCCAGGATCGTGACTGATTCAATCCTAGATGTTCCTGATATTGCTTGTAGGTTTATCAGCAATATAGCCGCCATCAAGGATTTTAGTAGGTGGTAGTCATCCCAAACCTTCCTCACTTTGAACGTTCTTCCTGTAATGAGCCTAGAAACTTAAATACCATAAAAGCAGGCTCAAACCAAACCTACTCACTTTACACCTTGACGTATACTAGTTGAAATCCCGACGGTGTATTTGTGTGGTGTTGATCTGAGTACATAGGGTAAAAAGCAGCTGCTTGATTGATTTACATGCTGAAACATGAGATCGCAAGATATCAAACTGATATCGAAAAAAGTACGACTTGTCAGGGCGGACTAAGAATAATGATCATTTATATATGTTCCGTGTTCAGTGTGTGGCAGTGGTTGTACAGCAGCAGGTCACAGGACCCGAGTAGAACAAGGGACTCTTAATGCTACGTTGTCGACACAAGGCAAGTCATTGCACGACCAGTAACGACAAGTACACAGTGAACGGCTTTCACGTCTTCTCCTGCTACTGTGAGTGGGTCGAGAACCCCCCTATTGTACACGACAGGGTAATGCTTCAAAATGTCACTGCCACAATAGTCTAATTTCGACTGTTCAAGCGAATGACCATATATCTTCTCAGTTCAAACACAGTGATCGAGCTAATGCTTTCTCCGCGTCTTATCAAAAGGTAAAACCATAAGTAAAGTGACAGGCTGTGATTTAATGAGCTGGCACCACGCACAGCGGATTGGTAACTTGTAGGCGTGTTTAGTAGGCCAACAGTAGAGTGATATACCCAAGGATATCGTATGTCTGACAGGTCTTATAAGCCAATACCAGTGTCACTAAACACTATACAGACATACTTCAGTTCTTATGCCTCCACATGGTGTGTGATATAAGTCCTTTATTTAGCTTGGTTATGCGGTGAGAGATGCACGCGTTGTTGTAGGTACGCTCAGTACAGGAATACGGACTGGTAGTTTTACGGACTGCAATTCGCCCTGTTCTCTCCTTCTGTCAGAAACCTTAATCCTGATCTCAATGAGTTTTTGTAGGGTTACAAGCACCATACCTGTGTTTGTGGGTTTCACGTCACGATAGACGTCAGAGTGGCATCACACTGGACATTTGGGCCACGCCAAACTGACATGGCGAATATTACTGCAGTACTGTTAAAAGCCGGTGTTAAACCTCTCAGTAATAGCTGAAACACTATATATAACCAGGATTCGTTATCTGTGCATATAAAACGTGTATCATATATATTAGTACGTAAATCAATATTTAATTTATATTTAACTCAGGCAATGGTAAGGTATTTTATTGCGGTTATTTTCGTCTCCATGTTGCCTCGGGTTAACCTGATCAGCCCATGCGAGATATTGATTTAACAATCGAACTGTGGTTTGGCGATATGGCGGTAGGGAAACAACATGAGGATAGTTTCAATGAGGGATTACCGTGATAAACGTAGCTATGGTGTCAAAATCTCTTTTCACGTTTAATTGCCCGTTACCTGAAAATGCCTGGACACTGTACGCGGGGAATACGCTGGGGAATATCACAGAGAAATGCAATCCAGGGCGGATTGCAGTAAAACACTGCTGTCTGAACAAGTAGCGGCCCGACTTTGGAGTAATAATCTCTACTCTCCACTTAGGTTGACGGTAACCGTAAGTAGCTTGCCCTTGGTACAATGCCTTTTGGTGTTCGGTCAGCTGGGTTCTGTGATAAAGCTTGAAGTCATACAAGTTGTGTGTAATATCCTTTGTGTGAAAGGGTCAGTTTTCTGTTCTGGCGCGGAGTTGAATTCCCCATACAAACATCGTGTCCATTATGTATACATTTCCAGGTAAGGTTTATACAGTTCGATCGTGGGGTGATAAATGTATATGTCCGAGCAATCCAGGAATCGGTGTTTATTACTTCACGAGGCGCTTGTCCAATCGGAAATCGACAGCTGAACACCTATTGCTACCTCCATCACTGTATTGAGGGGAATGCACGTACATTTCATGCAGTCTGTGGTTATGGTGATGAACTGTGCATGTATGTAGTTCCTAAGTATCTACAAGAACAAACCGTCAATCTTTGTTTCTAGAGGTTCCTACAGTTCATATGACGAAACATATTGCTTATCTCTCTTTTTTAAGTGTTATTATAATCTGATATCTGATATCATATCTCTCAGCATATTAATCCCATGGTCTTCGCCTTAACCCTTCCACACCAACGTCTACCTCCAGCCTAGTAACCTGTCATATCTGACTTCCACGAACACGGGATTCGAACCACTTTCGTTATTGGTTCCAAGCTCACTTAAGGTTTGGCAACCTAAGCTTTATCTGCTGCTTTAGGGAATACTTTGGAAATACTTGTAGCTAATGTGTAAATGCTTGTAGCTAATGTGTAATACTTGTAGCTAATGTGTAATACTTGTAGCTAATGTGTAATACTTGTAGCTAATGTGTAATACTTGTAGCTAATGTGTAATACTTGTAGCTAATGTGTAATACTTGTAGCTAATGTGTAATACTTGTAGCTAATGTGTAATACTTGTAGCTAATGTGTAATACTTGTAGCTAATGTGTAATACTTGTAGCTAATGTGTAATACTTGTAGCTAATGTGTAATACTTGTAGCTAATGTGTAAATGCGATGCTTGTTCTGCAACACTGCAGTGTGCAATTACTTTTGAATAATTTTATAAAATACGAATAGCAAGTACATTTAGGAAGAAATATGTAGCAATTGCGAAATTGACAATGGCAGTAGAGTTTCAATTCTGTTTAAAGAAGAGAAACCTATCAAGTACATGTATTTATGTTGGCTCGATGTTTATCCCATGTTGTCCCGCATATTCTAACATACTTGATCCATATTTGTCGCCATTAGATCTATGCCAGTAAACACCCCTCCATGACCAGTAGAAATCTCTGCTACAAGCCAGTGTAGGATTCCGACTATGTCATAGCCTGCATGTGTTCAGGAATCACTTTCAAATAGTGGTGATACCACGTGTACACTATTCATCAGTTACGGTTCGGATTGAAACACCTAGTGAAGAGAGCTTCCTGTCTTACTTAATGTTTCTTCCCTTACCTCGGGTCCAAGGCATATCGGTTACCATGGGTCTTACGTAATATTTTCTCGCTTCCTTTGGGCCTTAACCTCTTACCCGTGAAGATCCGTGTTAGAAATAGTCTTAACCTCATGTTAGGCGACTAACGGGATCGGGTGGTCAGGCTCGCTGACTTGGTTGATGCGTGTCATCGTATCCAATTGCGCAGATCGATGCTCATGATATCAGTCACGGGATTGTCTGGTGCACATTCGATTATTTGCAGATCACCGTCTTATAGCCGGAATGTTGCTGAGTGCGACGTTAAACAATAAACAAACTTAAACGAAACCTCTCCTCTCTTTTTTCGAGTCTTACTTTTCACTCCTCTCGTTCCTTGGGTCTTACCTCACTTCTCCCCCTCTGTCTCATACATAATCTCACCTCTCCTCCCTCGGTTCTCATACATAACCTCTCTTCACTTCCCTCGAGTCTTAACTCATATAAAGGTACTGCCTAAAAAACAAGGTCCTTCGTTTCGAGGTCACTACCCCTAACTATGTATTACTAATGTTTAGGTTATGAATGACCGTAAACAGTGTGTTGAAATACTGCATAATCAAATCTGTCAAATATCGGGATTAGCCCCGTCCAACACTTTGACCATTCCATCCACTGATCGATACTTTTTGCAAAACGATCTACGGTCCGACACCCGAAGTCTAGTTCTATAGAATTTTGCTAAGCGTGCTTTGTACACGACAAAAGGTTGATAATGCACAATTTGAACGAATCTTGGACTACTGTGTGTAAGTAAATTTATGATTTTACGCCGCTTCACGTTACATCACCGGCGGAGAACGAGATGGGCTTCACAATGTGTACCTACACGTGGGTAAGGTGATCCAGACCTTCGGTATAGTTAGCGAACGCTTCAACCATACACCACCCTTTAAGGTGGAGTCAAGAAAGCACGGACTACGTGTTGACTGTGACGCTGTTTGTATGTAAAACTGTATCACTATGTTAAGTTCAGAAGTTGTTCAAACGTTTCCCGGATATTACGAATAGATTAAAATACCAAACACATGCCATATTCTCTATACTGTTAAGGGGCGCAGGGGGGGCCTAGTGGTTAAAGCGTTCGCTCGTCACACGGAAGACCTGGGTTCGATTCCTCACATGGGTACAATGTGTGAAGCCCATTTCTGGTGTCCCCCGCCGTGATATTAATGCTAAAGGCGGCGTAAAAACCAAACTCAGTCACTCACTCACTATACCGTTAAGACCGTTGTCTGTAATGTAACAGTTTGGTTTTCGGTTGTTTCTGCAATACTCCAGTTATATAGTGTACTTCTATGATGGGAATCAGCACCTTCAGAGTTGCGTGTTAACTGTAAGGCTTCACAAGCAATCTATGTCATATTTCAAGGGTTTAAAGTTACTTCATTATTACATAAATCATAGAATAGATCCCACAGAATAGAATAGAATAGAACCCGTTGCTGCTCGTCCGAGACGCACTAATGGATCTTTTAGTCCGGCTAGGCGACTTGTTTGATACTTGGTTTCAATACCTGGAGTGCCTGGTTAAAACTCGCTTATTTACATGGCGCTGTCATATAGATGGAATTGTGGTGAAGTTATTATGTTTTAATGCCTTGACACAAGTGTGCGAAATAGCCACTGGCCCGCTAGCCCGTGCCTAGTAAAAATCCAGTCAGGCCAGTAAATCTTGCCCGAGTAGTGTATTTTCATGGGGTCATTTTGTAAATATATCACTCTCTCCGACTTGTTAAGTTATACACTTTTAGATCATGCAAGATTATGGCCTGATAAAGATGTTCATCATATTAGCAGCTTAATGATGAAACCCGTGTCATGCCAACAATATCTTATTCTCATCTATTTTTGTAATCTTTTACTTAGTTTCTACATTTCGGGCTAATGAATGGCTATTTTGTGGGCTAATAACGTTCAGACATAGCTAGCCCGACTGGCTTGCAAAATTTGGTAACTATTTCGCACACGGCTTCTGTTTATAATCTGAATTTAAAAGTTACTTTTTGCCAACAGGTGACACGACATAATGAAGAAACGGGTTCTTACGAGATTTGACGAGAAACAGATAGAGTTGGACCGCATTAAAAATGACTTCCGTCGTCACCTCGGCCGGTTGAACAGTCTCCGACTTCACTACAGGAACTGGTTTGACAGACAATTCCAGTCTTTTGTGGACAGTATTAAAATTGTGCAGTTGACATTCCCATGCTTAGTGCCACGAGAGATTGTGTATATGTCGCACTTTCTACAGATATTTGAGTTTGTAAAAAAACTGCCTCAAAATGGCAGAACGTTTGGTCGCAACTTAGACAAGATGACACAGTTTCATGACTTCTGGACTACCTTCTGTGAACTGAAGAAAGAAGGGGACGCTCTCAACGCTTCAATGTGTGCTTTCTGTGATAGTATTACACGTTTACGTGAACCCCATCTGAGGCTGGACATTGATAACATGCAAGCTCGCCTCGACCAAGCCAGCAATCAAGATTACAATTTCACTAAACTACACAACGAGAGGGATAATTTATTTGTTTATCGGATAGCTGGCCATGACGACAAACTCCAACCTCTGGTTGGCTACCTACCTTATCTACTAAAGATCGCTACTGGCATATGTTACTGGTCTACTAGACTGTACATAGAGAAGGAGTAGGTACAGCTAACTTGAAAGAGGAACAAATCTCAGCCAGTGGCCTGTTTCTAGTTGCTCCTGGTTAATGCAAGATGTGATAATGAGGCACTGTCTCTGTGTATCAAGGTCGCGCATATAGATGACTGTTTACAAGCAAAGTGGCCTTGAAACACTTTAATCAAATGTGCCGTGATTAGTCAATTCCTCAATAGCAGGGATCCATCAAAGTCGTGTATTTATCTATTGACTTGTTTAATATACTAATTTCATGTAGAGTGTTATAGGTGCATTATGCCTTGACACTCAGCCCAGTCGTGGCATGTTATGTACTCCACCCCTGGTCCTGGAATCAGATTATTGCTAAAACGGCACTGCGTCAAGACGTTCACAGAATGGAAAAGAGATTGTCGACAAAGTCTTCTGGTCAGGTCAGTTTGTTACAGATTTGATGCGGTGCCATTGTAGCTTCGTCCCCTGACACCAGTGACCACTGTGATCTATGTTCGGTCTGTTTGCCACATAGTATTCGGACCTTCTGTCCAGTGGTGTACATGGGACTAAAAACTGTTTTGTGATCAGGTGGATATTGGCTCAACAGGAATTGTTATGGTGATGTTCTGACTCGTACTCCATCTTCGTCACCCATATTCTAAACTACTTGACGCTCATTTGCACACTTACGAATTTTTTGGCACACTCAAACAACCAAGTTCAACTCCCGTCTTGTGTCACGACCACCTCGTACCTGCTGTGATCTCGCTAATATATTGAGTAAAGCGGAGTAAAACCCTACACACACACTCCTGTAAAGGACCACCATCTGGTGTAGTGAATACAGTATCGGTCGGGACAACGGACAGCTGGCTGGCGGATACCCGGCCTCGTCCTGCTGAAAATAGATATGCTGCTTGTTGTTACCATGCCTGCAGCCTTGAAGTCTGAAACAAGCACTGGCCCTCGGGAGTCACTGTAATGTGTCTGCGTGTATCCATGATACAACGCGGCCTGTCATCTCAGTAAGTAACCTCTACAAAAAGGGGCATTCGTCCAGGGCCCCGTTCCTCAAACCGACCGTAGGGCTACGACAGTCGTAAGTCTATGTTAAAGTATGGGAGTTACGATCATCTTAGCTCTACGATCGCTTTGTGTAACGGGACCCGGGCTAGTAAAAGCAGCTACACATACGTGCATGCCCGTCGATATATGACAGCGCTGAGCATGTCATGAAGATCATGGTCCGTGCTTACCATGCAGATAAACATCTGATTTGGGTGAGAACACACCATTTACTTTGAATCAAATATACTATACTGAACACAAGCACATTTCGTATTAGAAGTTTGTTTGAACCGCCGCTTTGAACAGTATTAAAGCTTGCATCAGCTTGGTGTCGGGTGAACGATTTGAATGAATCATACATAAAATCTTTACCACGCCTAAACTTCAAAACGGAAATGGTCCTGACAAAGAGCATAATGTAAAGGAAATGGATTGGAACACACTAGCGGATCCAGTTGCGATTATGGGACACAACTCTGCATGCACGAATGATTGTAGGAATGAATTTTAAGAAAGATATGTGTGCCGACGACGCCATGTAATGACACTTTATAAATTCAGAATCTTAGATGTGCTATTAAAACTGATACCTCTTTTACTTTTGTTATCAGATCACTGTTATCTAACCATGACGGTTGTCACTACTCACTTCAGATATGTACTATTTCTGACTGTATGTTTGACACTATCGGTAGGGGTGAGACATATCAATGTGGGTACAGATTGGCATAATTTGTTTCTAACATGGTTATCAGACACATATTGCTACCCGTTTTGAAAAGAAATGTCATCAGGTTGGTAAGGAAAGATGTTATTTAGAAACATGTCATTGTAGATAACGGTAGGTATATAACATGAATTTGGAGAGTTATATTTTCCCTTTTTAAACATTTTTGAAACAATTGTAATACAAAATTTGATATATTTTCCCCGAACCTATGTGACAAACTCTGTATAGCTCAGTTTACCTTCATCGGCCGAAGCGTGGGGGGTTCCTGGTACGGGCAACCGAGCGTTTGGAGTGGTATACCCTACTTCCGTATCTCGGAAAAGAATATGAACAGGCACATGGGAATAGAGAGCACTTATACCTTTCGAGATGTGTTTTAGGATATGGTTCCGCTTGTCATTTCAGTGGTTATTAACAATCAGCGATATGCGACGTCCTTTTATGTGTGGCAGTGTAGCCGAATCGATACAGAATGCTGACCTTTGCTCAAAACAAACACAACCTTAAGGATTCATAGTACCTGCCCCCTTGTGTTGGGTGCCCCATCACGATGCAGAGAGGTAATGATCCATGTTATGATCTGAGATTGAACAATGTAATACAATGCCACCAATAGGCGGAAGCAGTTGTTGGAATATGTATTTACAACAGCATAGAATATCTCATGACTTACATATTACGGATATTATATTATGCGATGCAAAGTTGTTAACGAATTTCTTGTCTTTTTTTTTTTTAATAAACAAATATTATTTCTAAAACAATGTGTATGTTTATTTTCTGATTTTATCAACATCACTGCAGAAAAATAACAAACGACGAACAAATGAAGTATACATTATGGTGAACAATAACATTTGTTCGAATCAAGTACTAATATATTAACAGACTATATATATATATATATATATATATATATATACAAGAGAGTCAAAGGAGATATTATTGAGAGTCATTACTTACTGAAAAGCTAACTTGTAGAGGCATGTCTTGAGTTGGCTCCTGAACGAGGAGAGATCAGTACAGAGGCGGAGATGCTCAGGAAGATTGTTCCATTCAACACTTCTTGAGCCTCTGACGACAACACCCGGTAAGCTCTTAATATGTGGCGACTTTAATTGCCACATCGACAAGACGACTGACAGAGATGCGCAGAAGCTGCTCAAAACTCCGAAAGCTCGTGGTCAAACTCAAGTTATACATGAGCCAACTCACGCTCAGGGACATATTCTAGACCTGGTGATTGTGCGTGAGAATGAACTGACAGTAGGTTTCGTAAGATCTGATCATTCTGTAAGATCTTATCACTACAGTGTCTTGTTCAGTGTCAACATCTCAGTTGAAAGACGGTCCAGAAAGAACATCTCATTTCGCAAGTGGAAGGAAGTTGATCTTCTAGAGTTTCACCTAGATATGACTACAGCTATTTCTAACTCTTCAGATCTCTGCCAATGAACATGTTACTCTGTATGACACTCAGCTCAGGAAACTTGCTGACCATCATGTTCCATTGAAGTCCTGTACTGTAACTCTTCATCCAGAATCACCCTGGTATAATGACGACATTCGATCAGCTAAACGCCTGAGGCGTACACTCAAGAAACAGTTTAGACACACCAAGTTAGCCATTCATAAGCAGATGCACGACAACCATAGACATCATGTTCACTCTCTTATGGAGACAACCAAGTCAAACTAATACATTGCTGCACTGCAGGATGCAGAGGGACAAAAGGATGTGTTCAGGATAGCTAACAGGCTTCTGTTTTAGGATAAATCCCTGACTCTTCCATCTCATACATCCCTTGATCAATTAGTTGACAAGTTCTCAGATTTCTTTTCTCGGAAGATTTCCACAATCAGAGAATCACTATTACATGATGAACTTTCACACAGTTATCCCCAACCAGCAGATGCATTTCCATGCCTATCCCATTTCCGACCAGCAACAGAGGCAGAGATTGTGAAACTTGTTTCTAAGTCACCGACAAAGTCATGTATCTTTTACCCTATGCCTACATGGCTTCTTAAGAACTATCTGGATACCTTTGCCCCTGTATTGACCTCTGTTGTCGTCAATAAATCTCTTCAATGTGTGTTTCGAAGTTATGCAATCAGTATACCGGAACTGCCACGGAAACCGCACTCGTTAATTTGCACAGTGACTGTGACAAAGATGGTGCTTCAGTCTTGGTTCTACTCGATCTGAGTAGTGCCTTCGATACTATCGATCATACTATTCTGATGTATACACTTGAGACCAGGGTGGGTATTAGAGGCACTGCTCTTCAGTCCTATATATCAGGTAGGCATCAATCGGTGATTATTGATGGTCACATCTCCAGTCATAGGGATCTTGCTTGCGGCGTGCCCCACTGATCGGTTCTTGGACCTCTACTTTTCACCATTTACAAATCTCCTCTAGGTGATATCGTCAGGTCCTTCAACCTTGGACTGCATTTATATGCGACGACACTCAGATCCTTCAAACCAATACTTTCTTCATCAGATGTATCTTCATTTCTCACCATTGAAGAGTGTGTCAGCTGCATCAAAAACCTGGATGTCGTCCCACTTCCTCAAACTGAATGATGATAAAACAGAACTTAATTTTTTCTTCCATAAGCGTCTCCAAACCAGTATCTATCTTCCTAAATTCAGCATCGGTCAGTGTGAGATTCAGCCAAAGCCTGAGGTGTGTAACTTGGGAGTTATTTTTGATTCCTCACTGTCCATGGAGCCACACATCAATAACATCTGTAGAAGGGCATACTTCCACATTCGCAACACCGTCATGATTCGACGATACCTGGACGTCAAGACTACAGTATCTCTTATTCAGGCATATGTAACATCTCCTCTCGACTACTGTAATGCGGTCTTGTGGGTCTCCCAAATCATCTTATACACAAGCTTTAGAAGGTGCAGAATCAAATGCCATGTAATACTTGCAATTTATTCATAACCGAATATCTCCATTTATACTGAAATGGCGCCCCAACTACCCGTGTGTGCGTGCGTGCGTGCGTGCGTGCGTGCGTGCGTGCGTATGTACATCAGCAGAGTAGGAGAAGGTTCGGCGTCCATGTAGAGTTGATCGTACTTTGGGGACTTGTACTCTGAGACCGCAGAGATCGAGAAGACAAATATGGAGTGAGGATACTGGAGCAGTAGACCGGAGCAGAGCCAGAGAGACAACGGAACACAATGCATAAGACTTTGAAGAGAATTCTTTCTTCACCTGGTAGTCAATGGACAGGACCGATGTGTTCGTACTTCCCTGTTCGTGTGACAATGCGCGCAGCGGTGTTGTGAACTCGCTGCAAGCGCTGTAGCTGAGATTTGTTGGCACCAATCAATGCAATAGAGTGTCGCAGTAGTCTAATTTCGAGAGAACAAGAGATAGTGTAAGAGTAGCTGCTGAGTTTCTAGTGAGGTATCGCCTGATATTTCCAATATTCCTTAGGGACGTGAAGGAGGCCTGCACAATGTGAGAGATGTCATTTAAAATGTAACATATGAAACATTTGGGATCGAGACCTACCCGTGATTCGAACACACGTGCACGCGTTTAGACTGAGGCGTCTAATAGTAGTAGCAGTAGTAGGAGGAGGAGTGTAACACTTAAAGAGTGGTCTCCCTTTCCTGAAAGATGCGTTTTGCTAAACGGCGACATGACATCACAAGAACTAAATGAAATACTGATAGGAGAGAACCGGAAAGCTGTTACACCTTAATCTGCAAAGCAGAGCCCCGTTTCACAAAGCTCTCGTAAGCCTAAGATCTTGTAACTTTTCTCGTAGCAATCGAACCTCCTATACAGTTAACATAGACTTAAGACAGTCGTAGCGCTAAGATAGCTTTGTGAAACGGGGCCCAGATATTGGCAAAAGAAGCGCGCGGACGTCACAGCGTTTCTATCCGTGGTAATGATTGACATGCTTGAGGAAACTGCCAATTCTGAAATTCCCAAATAGAGTGCTGACAGTGCTATATTCCCCGAATAAAAGGTAGCAACCCTGCCTCTTTGTACCTGCATTTCAGTGCGCAGTTACACTAGAGCACGCCAAAAATATAATTTTAGAACTACTACACGTATTACAGTGCATATATTTCTTCATTCATTTTTAATTTTTTCACAAATTATTCATAACATAGGAAATCTGTATAGGTGCAAGTCGCTGTGCATAGTGTGTCTTGTTTATAGCCCCGCATGGCAAGCGCAGTAGTAGGCAATTAGCAAACGCGTCCACGCCAACCTTAAACTAATTAATCAAAGATGAAGTTATTGAGCTGTGTCGGTTCCGGGCCTTTCTTCTCGGGTACATTCCTTGGTCAAGCACAGATAAGTAGTCCCATCCAAGCAGGAGCATGTCTACCACCAACTTAGTCGTAATCGAAAATCAACTCTTGTTGAGCAAGATCGAGGTTACCATCATGCTATCCTCTTTGTCCTGTCATAAATGCCATGGTCAAGCGCTGACAGATATTTTGCAGCTGGCGCAAGCTGACTGTGGCAACACCATAAAGAAAATCAAACCTTGTTAGGTAATCATCTTCTTACCACCTACCTCGTGTAGTATACCTTGTCAGCATAGGGTAGATAACGCATATGGAATCTCCAACTTTAGGGAAACTTGATAATGACAAACGAGTAGAGCTGTGGGTTATAAAATCCTGGGTTCTTCCATCTCAGGCACACTTGCTTGAATAAACCCAGGAACTCACAGCTCTCTCCTTTCTTGTTTCAAGGCTCGCTCCCTATAGCTAATTCCCCAAATCGAGGCCTGACAGCACCTTTAGCACTCCTAGCGCTAAAGGTCGTCCTAACGGACACAAAGCAAAAGCTGTCTTACACGTGTAAA